TGATAATCTGAGAACAGAAACTTCTGATGCTCTCACTGTTTAAAAATTTTAAAAGCTAAAATGGTTACATTAAGTCGTCATTTTAATGCCATTTAATGAAACTAGACAAACATAAAAAATAGTCTTGACACTAATGATAGTTATTATTTGTTGGCAAACGGTTAACAGTATATTTTTTCACATGTATTCAAAATTTCGACTGACTTAAAAATGTAAAGATGAGATAGGACTACTCCGAAAGTATGAAGTACTTTCAAATTTCGACAGAAAAAGGATGCACAGAAAGAATGATCGGCAAGCAAATAAGTTATACTATATATGTGGACAGTTTTTAGTTAGCTAAAAATCTCTTAGACAGAGCGAAAACAAAGGTCAAAAATAAAAGTTCGAGCACCTAAAATGTTGTTGTGAAAAGCTTTGAGCTCTGATCATGATCTTCCCATGAAATAGTCTAAAGATTTTTCAAACTTCGAAAACTTTTGGGGAATCTCAAATAAGAAGCAGGAAAACGACTTCAGTTCTTTATTATACCTTTTTGAGATTCAAGATACTCGAAAATCCTTTCAATTTTACGATGAAAGACTTTGAAAATTGCAAAAGTATTTTTGTATATCCATTTAGATATCAACTCCGTTTTTCTAGCAATATTAATGTCTCATGAAATCCTAGCGATTTCTGAAAGCAATAAAATGGTATTCTGTAATACTTTCAGGTTGTTAAAACGAAGACCATAGGAAACCAAGAAGGCATAATCAGAGCCACTGGAAGTGTCCGGAAACCTTCTCGGAAAACTCTAAAGAGTTCTGAATTGGCTTCCGAACCTATTGCAGTTTTCCAGGAAACAGTTATTTTCAGAGAGTGCGCCATTTTCACAAAACGCTATGAACATTTCAATGCGATTCAATGAATTCGAGTAGCCGATTGTAATATTGATAATGAATATTCGATTCAAGCAGCCAACGGTGAGTCAGATGTGAGAATATACTTTGTTTGAATCGGCCAAAAGTCAGTAAACAATTATCCCCATGAAATAATAAAAATGGTGACTTTCATGTGAAAAACATGAAAAAAATGGGATTTTTCATTTTTTTATTCCCAGAGTCGCAAGATTGCTTCAGTGGGCTCTTGGTCACGCCTCGTCGTGTGTACGACCAAGTGTAAAATAATTAGTGTAGATAAAAATTGGAGAACTAGTGCATTTAAATGTCAAGAAAAAAATCTGGGTTATTAAGTGATAATATTTTCAATTATTGTTTCATCGCAAGTATACAATAGGTGCAGAATGACAAGATAAAATTATACATAACAATATATCCAAAATATATAAATGCACAAGGTCTATATTGTATGTTTTACTCATTCTTATCGATTTTACTAGCAAAGACAAATGCAACATTGATAAGCTTTAAAAGATTTCAAGACAAAATCTTTCAGACAGAATATAAAGAAGAGTCATAACTATGCATCAAAAATCTTGGTTGTCAGTATAATAAGAATCATAGATTACATAGCTGGTGGCAATATTTAGAAGAAAATTTATCTAGTAAAATAAAATCTATTATATAGAGAACATTTTCGACAATCGTTTTTTCATTATTGCTTTGATAAAAACTTGAGCTAATACAGCGGCAGTGAAAATGAAGCAAGAATATTTTGTATTGTACGAGATCATATGATTTGTTTATTAAAAACAAGCGAAAAATTAGAACAATAAACATAACTTGCTGAAGTTAATAATGATGAGAACTAGTTCTCAGCCAAAACAATAAAATGACTTTTGTAGAGATTTCTGAGTCTTTGTTTAATGTTATATAGCTGTAATAAAATTTCTCTTGAGTAAGGAAAACAAAAGCATAAATCATGATGCCCAACAATATTATAGAGTATGAAAAAGATCTTCTATTACAAATGACTATTTGAAATCAGAATTCAATTTTATTTAATTGAGAAATCGTTTGATGTATATGAGACGATTACAAACCATTGGTATTGTTTAAACTTATATGACGTAGAATTCTCAACCAAACTTAACGATTTGTTTCAGCAAATTTACCTTACGTGCGCGGCTACTTCATCTGCTAAAATCATCCCTCTAGCTATTGTCTGTCGCTAGGTTTTCTGTTAAGAAACCATTTTTAAAATTTGCTTCTTTCTTTTTAGTATCTACGGAAGTTAGGCCACAAAATATACTATTTGATTTAACGATGTTGTTTTTATTTTGCTTGTCCCGGCGTGAAGTATCCGTTGTCACAAATTTGGTAAAAAAGGTCCTGTCATGCTGTAAACTATTTTTTTTTTTGAATGACATATGATTGAAGTTCTACTCAGCTAAAGTTAAAATGTAGACCGGTAAAAACAAACAAAATGCTAGTTAAAAAAAATCTATTATGTTTATTATTGGTTAAAAAATAACAAATTTTGGATATCAAAATGCGCCTTCCTCTCTGAATGTCCCGTCATGTTTTGTGTGTGAGCGTGGATGCAAGGAGAACATCACCCACACCAACCCTCTTGGAATAGTAATCCTTGGTTAATTTTAATCCGTATGTGTAGGTGTCCTTTTTTAAAAAAGATAATCTAAAACAAGTCTTAAAGTATCGGGATAAAAATTTGAATTCATCCTCGTTTCCTCAAAACGTGTCGAATGTCTTATTAAAGTCATTCTTCCGCTTCGCTAATAGAAGGAGACAGGTGAATTCGTATTTCTACACACTATTGTTATAGTTCAGAGTATTTTGCTACAGCCTATATCGTGTGAGAAGCAAGCATTTCGTCTTTCGAAATGTCTTTACCGTGCACATTAAACATTACGTTAAATAACCTCGATTTTTTTGTTGTCTATAAAGACAAAATACTTTTTGAAGAAATCAATACGATTAACTGGTTGATTCTACGTCTCGATGAATCATTCATGTATAATACAATCAGAAAATGATATTCAATAATTTCTAGCCAACTAACAAAAAATTTTTCGCTACTTCCGATCTCTTTATAACATGCATCCTTACTTTTTCTTTCTATTCTTTCAACAAAAATGACAGACTTTTTCGTGATATGAGTATTCGTTTTTATTAATAGATTAAGTATAGAACATATAAGGAAATTATTAAAAGAAAAAAAAAGTGTCAATTTATTAAATTTCATCTGAATTCGACGGTTTTTACATCGTACAGTACCGTGGATAGATGCTACAACAGATGCAAGTCAATGGTTGTAAATAGTAGACATAATATCCACTACAATTGGTTGCAAGAACTGAATTAATTGAATATGATGAATAACATAGATATCCGCTGTAACTAACACATTGGGTACCAGATGTTGTTGCACCAATAGTTGATGGATGAGTACCATTCCACCAAGATGGCTGATTTGAACCACAATAACCTGTACTAACAGGATATGTAACCAATTGAGTTCCTGATGATCCGGTTATTCTATACCAACCATTATAACCAGAGTCACACCAACAACAACTAGAACTATAATTAACAATACGCGTCGCATCATTTATTGTGGTGTAAGTTGTACATTGAGGAGGTAAACTGATTGCTGTAGAGATTGTTGCTAAAAACAAAATAATTTTAGTTTTAGAGAAAACAAAACAAAAAAAAAGTGTTACTAGCTGCGGTGCTGTTTGTTGAACTATTGGATGTTGCTGGTAAATTGGTTTTAAAAAGTCCAAAAAAATCCATACGATAAAATTAATAAGATGTTAAGAAACTTACATAATAATGCAAAAAAGGTAACAATAATACCTAGGGGAACTGCAGTGATTATAAGACCCAGAAGAAAACCAAGAACATGACTTACGCTTATCCATTCTGTGCCTGATTTTGATCTAATTTTAAATAAAATGTATCAATTATTTATTCGTATGATAAATGTTTTTTGTTTACCCTGTTTCAATATTTATTGGATTTGATTTTGATGGCCTCCATGATTTTGTTTGATACTGTATTTGTTGCATTTGTTGTTCATCCATACTGTATTGTGGATGAACTTGACCAGTATATTTTGAATATGGTACGAGAGCATTTTGTGATGACATGGATAATGAAGGAACATCTCTTATTAATTGTGATGGATTCATGGGTTTTGAAGGATCACTTGTATCCCAAGAAGTTACTCGACGTCCTGTATTATAATCATCAATCATTCTTTGTTAGTTCACAATGAAGTATGCTATCGTGAAAGTTTTTGATTATTGGATTATAAATGTGAAAAATTTTGTTTGTATTCTATCTATTACTTCGAGTCGATACATCAAAATATATATGTTTAGATTTGCTTTTATAAGTCATCGTTGATTTTTCATTCTATTTGAAATAACAAATCAAAATTCAATAGATCTAGAAAACAATCAATGATGAAAATAACATTCCTTTCGATCACGTCGAATATAGGTGTATTATAAAGAAGATTTTTTTTTTAGAGAAGAGATTTCTTGTTATTGTTTTGGTTTGACTAGCATACGATTTGTTATTATGAAAGAAGTATTTCTTTGTTAAAAGCATTCTATAAGAAAAGAACTAACAAGTAGTGATTTTATTTTTTAATCTTTAATCTCCATGAATTTATCTTTAAAAAGATTGAATCTATGATAATGTCAATTTATTTAGTTCGATATTCACTCTATATCAAATATAGAATAGTGAGTATTATAAGTATTTATTCTTGTCAAATTGTATTTTCATGAATTTTTTCATGTTTATTTCTGTTTCGAATATGAAAAAATTGATGGATTGCTTTGACAAGTTGTCTCGTTTTTCTTAGCTTCTGATTTTTTTCATATTGATTCTTTTTTTTTTCATTCTAATACAAAATCGAAAACTTATTTGAATATAATCATTAAGTATTTGAATTGAAGGAAGTATTTTTTTGATAAGATAGGATATATTTATTTATTTGAATAGAGTAAAACCAAACAAATTCAAATGGAAAAAAGAATTCAAATGAAAAAAGTTAATTGTTTCTTTTTTAATGTAAATATAATTGAATTAATATGTTGTGCAGTATCGTATACCGGTTGTAGTCATTGGTATTAAATAAAAAACATAATAACCGTTGCAATTTGTAATAGAAATTGTTGTAATATATGGAGCATAACATAAATTGCCACTCCATTGTACACAAACAGTGCCTGTTATAATTGAACCTGCAGTTGATGGAAAAGTACCATTATACCAAGTTGGATATGAAACACCACATGATCCATAACTAGAAGGTGTTGTTGCTAATCGAGTTCCAGCTGTATTCATAAATCTATACCAGCCTGTTGTAAAACTTCCACTTACATCAGAAAAACAATTAATGCAACTTGTATAAGTTGTAAGACGTGTTGAATCCGAATTCGAAATATATGATGTACATTGTGATGGAAGACTGACAGAACTACTTGAAGAATCTAAGGAAAAAAATGATTTGATTATTAAATAAAAATAGAGTTTTAATTGAGCGACATGACTACCTGAACTGCTACTAGATGATGCCTCTAAATTTAATCATAAAAATAATAATTATAATAATATATAAAATGAAATTTACTTTTTTGTGCATATAAAGCCGACATAACAGCCAATGGAATACCACAAATAATAAAACCGATAAGAAATGTCATTATACATTTTGCTGTCACGTATTTTTTACAAGATTGTGATTGATTTTCACTGAATAATAAAAAAAGTAATTCTATTTTTTTTGTCTATAATAGAATAAGATAAATCTAACCTGACGCTTGAATTCGAAATAAAAGGTTCTTGTGAAGCTTTTGTTGTCCATGCTTGATATTTTTCTTGTTGAAATGGTTGAACTTGTCGTTCATCAACAATACTATATTGAGAACGAATTGGAGAAAACTGTTGTGATACCGGTACAGCTTCGGCTGATACTCTCATTCTTATAAATTATATATTTTATGTACGACTAAGAAATTGATCAAATGAATCGAATGAAATTACTTTTATGAAAGATATTTCTGTATTATGAATATGAGAATTAATGTTTTTTTTTCAATCTATGTATTGAAGTTCATATACAACATAATTTATTTTTATTTTCATAGATTGTAGATCTTCATATTTGTTTAAACATATTGATAAGAAACATATCTACCATTCATATAATAGATTTTTTTTCTTTTTTTGAAATAACAAAAAGTCAACATTCACACAGTAAAAATAAATATCCGATGGAATTCATGATTGCTTATAGAATGTCAACAATCATTAAAAAAAAAGAAATTCAGGTGCATTTTTATTCTCGTGATCTTTGGTTGTGTAACACATCGGAAAGAATATTATATTATTGTTTTTCAATTGAAACCATAGAATATTTTATTGAAAATATTGTTAGTTATTAAATATTTTCTCTATTGCGTTCATTCTCTTTTATGAATAGAAGAAGTTTGAGTAGCCTACATACAAGCGTCTTAGAGTTCTTATTATATTAATTACACCATTGATCCTGCAATTAAAATTCAATTCTCAAGTTGAAGCGCACGGAGCAAAACCTCGTTTGGAACAGGGAAACATTCCAAGAGAATTTGGGAGAAAAGTCACGACACGCCGTATGTCAGCAGACGAACATGTTCCAAGCTACTTCATCTGAACGCGTTCTGAATGATTAGCTCGGAATAAGTTTTGTCTAGTGGCATACAGCGCGCTCGTGGCTTTCTTCCACATTCTCTCCAAAGGTTCGCCTTGTTCCAAACATGTTTTTCTCCATTCGCCTCGACTTGAATTATTAAATACTCATAAGTTCGATAGTCGAAAATAAAAGTTCAATATTTATTTAGGATAAATGAACTTCGAACTAGGATTATCAGATCGAATCTAACTAATGATCACTCTTACGAACGAGAAAATTCATCCAACTGATATATAGATTTTGAATCAGGACATTGTGCTTTATGCGAATCCTAATCAGTTATCAATATCATAAAAAAAGTTCGTATTATGACCTTATTGTTGCCGAGATATTCGTATCTTTTGAATCAAAGTCACGATTTTCTTTAGAAAACTGGAAAAGCTGCTTTTCAAATTCTAACTTGCAATTATGCACAGAGATAAATCTTCAGCAGGATCGGTTTTTTTCCGCTGAAAATTTCGAATCTTTTCATTTGATCCTATATATAAAAGCATCGAATTTACGAGTTTATGTGAGTTCTATTACTGCTGTATCTTAAGATATGAACGACGAAACAATTTGAAACTTTCACGATAAGCTATTTTATCGAAGAGTCTGTGTGGTTAGATACCTACACAATTGTTTGCCAAGTAGTCTAACAAAAAACCAAACCAGACAACTGATTTGGTAATATTTTCATTCAATCTATTGAGAAATATAGAAGGGTGGTATGTCAGCGTGAGTGTGTGGTATGAATGTGGGTGTGTAGGAAATAGGTGCGTTCCTATAACAATATCCTCGACTTAACAAAATCTACAAACTAGACCCTACACTCACACACTTACCAACACAAACCCATACCCACACACAAATCCACAAAAACTACGCGTACCAATTTAATCAGAACAATTTATTTCTTTTTGATCATCTAAGACAAGACATCGCATCTCAATGCTTTTTTGTTCGATATTCGATGGTAGCACATGGTCATTGATAAAATCAATATGAAAACCAAACTGGGTGACATCGGGCTTGCTATCGAACATTTTAATAAGAAACATTTCATCGCATCGCATCTCGCTCAGATATTACCATCTCTGAGAGTGTAGAAATTTGCACGACATCGTATAGGCCAATCCTGTACTCGGAGAATCTCGCACTCTGAATGGATAAACATCATTTTCAATATCAACGGAACAATAGACGCAAATGGCTAACGATTTGTCTGAAATGTCATTTGAGCTTAATGGTTACCAGATGTTTATTAGTTGAAATCTAGTCTGCATCCTTTTTTTTTCTTTATCTTCGTCAAGCAGTTCTTCTATTTTCAGCCTAGTCGAAGTTGGAGTAAAGTCGCAGTGTGAACAGAAGTCAGAATTCTTGTGTTTTGCATCACATTCATTATCTGGACGTACTGAATGCTGATATGGCAAGATGTGGTTGAAGATGATCATACGAAAGACACTCAAACACTTTTTTAGGAAAGAAATTCTCTTTACAGAATCTTTGATGTTCTTTGCTGTTTTCATCGAATTTGTTGCTTGTGAATCCTTCGTGTTTTACCTCCTCGAACTCATTGATGTCGAGATTAACACTCTTTCCCTTGCCCCGCAAATTATGAATGGTGAGACGAGTAGTTGATGGTGCAAAATTTAAACTCATCCAACTCGACAAGCTGCTCGCATCATTCCACACGGGACAACTGTCCGTCGTGTGTGTCAGAAAATGAATCTTTCTTATGATGTCACCACCCATTATCAATTCGATGTAGTTCATACAAAAACAACACGTGTGCGAAATGAAAGAAGAGGCGAAGATCACAAATATGATTCTCGTTTCCTTTCTTATCTTTCTTTACTCTGAACAGAGCGGTTTGGTGTTTTTCTTCGCCGCGAAATGTGTTTGTTTGTAATAAGCTGCCTTTTTTTCTCTTCATTTCGCTAAAACACACTGCGCTGCATAGCAGTAGTGATAGAATTCCTCATGAATGGAAATTCGAGAGTTCTGTGGTATAGAAGTTTTATTTTGTACTGACTTCTAAAAATATCAACCAGAATTCCTTCAGAGCACCACACTGTAAAAAATATCCGGAGAATAATAAAGCTTAAAAGGGTTCATGAAAGTGCAACTTATAAAAACTCTTTTCTGCCGTTTATGAGAGCTTCCAGAACCACTTTCAAAAAGAAACATAAAGAGGTTGTTGAACTTCAAAAGCCCCTCTTAAAAGATTGATGAAATGGTACATAACATCAATAAACTTTTAGACGATTTGCCATACATTGCACTTTCATAAATCTATCATGAGTTCATAGTTATCGTAGGATGTAGGTGTGGGTCTTACTTTGTCATTCAACAACAAAACAATAATCGCACCCACATACTCATATCCACACTCACATCCATGTTCTCACTAAATTGAGAACAAAGACAATTGCGAGCAGACCTCAGTGATCTCTTTCAATCGTTAATTTCAAGACTGAACATAAGAAAACAAATATCTTCTTTAGAGGAATTTGCTTTATGGATGAAGAAATCAAGTATTAAATAACCAAAAACGAATATACATTTAGAAATCATGTCTAGTTTTGAAAAAGAAAAAAAAATTCTTAATCTGTTGTATATGTTCGATATCCATAATCATCTATGGTACATTGAATACAATTAAAACATGGATGAATTTGCCGTATTGTTTCATCACTCGTTATTTCATCATCTGGTGCATTATCAATATGACAATCAAATCGACGTAAATACAACAATCGATTTGAAACAGTTTGAGCGAAACGAATAAATGGAACATCACAATTGAAATTCAATTTAATTCGTTGAACATATGGCATATATAAAAGAAAAGTATCGATATGTTTAAAACATAACACACTATAAGGATCTGAGAGCGTAAAATATTTGAGAGGATGATTTGTAATTGATGGTATCTCATGAAAAATATTGAAGTTATTTTTTTCGAAATGAGCATGAAGAGTAGAAAGATTGGGAGATGATGCAAGAATATGTAGAACCATAACTGATGAAGTGCAACAAACAGATATTGAATGAAGAGAATGTGATTGAGACCATTGAAACTGTGATACATAAAGATATCCTAGATTAACATGTCTAAGTGAAAATAGTTCTGGAGAAAATATTTTTTGAATTAATCGAGGTATATCATAAGATGTATTATCTGATGGTATTGAAAGATAAACAAGGTGAGGTATAAGTTTTACTTGAATCTGTTTCAATTGATTTTCTGTCAGTTGATATAACACTAGTGAATGCAAATAAGGAAATTGAGTGAAATCTATATTGAGACAGGTATCGATTACTAATCTGTTGATATGACACGCAAATAATGAAATCAGCTTTGATTCATCTTTTTCTATTGTAAGAGAAAGATTTCGAAGTGATTGTAGAAGTTGATTGAATCGTTTATTGAGTCCCCAAAAACCATGAAATAAATCTCGAGCATCAAAATATCCGAAAACATCAAATAGTAATTCGTTGGGAAAATGTTCTAGTCTAGTGTGCATATCTAAAAAAAAATCGAAATTCAATTACAATTAAGAAATATTTATGTAATATTAGTCTCTTGCTTATAGATATTATAGAAAACTAAGCCTTCTGACTAATTAAAAATTGAAAAATAAGATTGATGGTTGTGAACATTTATATACTATATACTTATATGAAATTGATGACTTCCAAAAGTAGCAAATATACTTTTTTTTTTTAACTTGCTTTGAATAAAAACAAAAAGGAAGACTTTTGATGAACAATAAAAGCCTATGACACTTTCATCTGTTGTTCACTCTTGAGTTTGTTTAAGATATTATACATCAAAACGAGAAACACGCAGAAAATCAACAACTTCAAGAAATGAATATTTATTGTTAAAATTTTCGAATAAACTAATGATCTACATGTTTATCTATTTCATGGCAATATGATTGTCAAATATTACAACGTTCTTAACTCCAGAAGATAAAGACTATACTATTCTTACTGTTAACAATTTCTTAAAATATATATGACGATCAATTTGTTAATCAAAATTTCTATTAAATAAATCAGATGAAATGGAAAATATTGGGCGAACTAAAAAAAAACAAAGAAACGTATGCCATTCTAAATAATAACAATACAAAAATTTATAGAAGATTTCGTACAGGACGCAAGCTGCGCAAATAGTGTTCGCATAATAATATTTCAGTTTCATTGTGACTTATGTTTCGAATAATTCCTTTTTCTTGTATTAAAATTACTTTAAAAGCATAACAATGTGGACCCTATTCTTTTTGATTTAATACTTATTTTTCATTCATTATTTTAGGAGATGAGAGAATTCTTCTGATCTGTTTATTTAAAATAGTACAAGTATACAAGTTTTAACATATTACAACTGAAAGAATCTTATTATTCAGTTGAAACAAAATTCTATTCTTTTAATTATTTACTACAAATGGTTTTGACAAGTCAATCGTTTTATACTCGTGAGCTTTGCTATTCAGTTACACTGCCTACCTTCACAGCGTCAGCTTATATGTTGTTTTACGTATCTACGCTTCTCATTTCAGCAAGTACTATTCGACGCACATGTTTCTTTCTTTGTCTCAAATAAAGAACGAAAAGAAAAAAATAATAGTTACCATAGTGTTGTTAAACAGATTAGAGTGGAGTAGCAGCAAAGATCACAATACGCAACGAAAGAAAAATTGACTTTGATAACGTTAAAATATATACAGAAAAAATTCAAGTTTGAGAATAGGTAAGAGTTAAAATTAAAAGGAGAATTTTCTTTTACCCCTACCAACACTTTTACCCTATCCTCGATATTCACCTTGAATTTCATAACTTTAAACGATTTCGCGTCCCTCAAATCAGTAATTTTCAAGACTATTACAAAAATCATCACTGTGAAATAAGATTACGTACCTTTATTGGGCAACACAAATGTATTAGTATTAGGCATTTCTTTAGTTATTTAAGAAGGCTTAGTGTAAAACAAAAGCCATAATCAACATGCTGAAGTACGCAGCTTGCAGATGTTATAAATGATACATAAAGATCACGTACTTTGTTGTTTTCATTAAATTCATACATGGTGGAAAAATATATGTAATTACTTCCGATTTGTCATTTGTCAAAGTTTGATATTCGAAACACTTTAATTTTTTATTCTTTTCATCGAAGATTTCATTTTAATCGTTACTACTAAGATTAGAAATTCAAGTAACTTGTGAAGATTACAACAAATTTACTCATTGTTTGATCTTCGTTATACATATAGCGACAGCGTTCTCATATTCTATTTAAAATATATGATTTATTTTTCATATATCGATGATGTTTTCTCAACTGAATGAGTTTCAAAACTTTCAGTAAAAAAAATGACGCTTTCTAGACATAAGGATGACTTGTATTTTCAGTGTATTTCATCCAATTAAATTACATACTTTTGTGATTCCTGTAGTATTCATAGGATTACTTTCGAGGTTATAGAGATTCTCGCCGTACTCTTAAGAATCTAAAAATTTCCATTGCATTCCCAGTGATTCGGAATGCTGGGAATTCACTGTTCCTCCGTAGATTTTCTCTCTAACCGCACCACTTCCTTTCACATACAAGCTACCCCGTTATTGCCATCATAATTGTATTACCTATTACTAGCTGCTAATGCTTTCTTTTTTTCAGCGCTGAGTTAGGGTGATTAAGTATAGCTCTAATTCATCACAGAGGCTTTTGATTGTGAAAAGCTAGGAAAGGTCCATGATGCATGTTTGTTCCTTCTTGCCTATGCGCTTCCAGCATACAAAGAGACTCACCATGCACGTGCTAATGCGTGAACCAATAATGTTTTCGATTAATGTGAAAATGCGCTTATTCGATCAAACAATGTGACAAAGTAAGTTGCATTTTGGGTGTGGGTGAATAGAAGGCCTACATTCATCCACATCCATACCTAGCAGTCAAGATTTAATCAATCGGACGAAATTTTACACTGCGATATATTCCTTAGCCGGAAAATTTTCATTCTGTACATAACTTATCTTGATTATCAGCAAAAGCGCGTAATAAGCTATATCACGCTCTTATGAAGTCCTATCCTTTTGAGCAAATAGTTCTGTATCGATAACGATGAACAATTCATGACTTACTAAGGAACAAGAATAATGATAAAAAGAAGAAGCAATACAACTAATTTGAGTTGACAAATAACTTGAGATGATCATGATGCTCTTTCAGTTTTTTTCATAAAAGAAAATCGATACCATTGCTTATCTTTTAAAAAACAACTGTCACCTGATTAATTTTTTTATTTGATTTTATTAGAAAAAAAAGAAATATCAAAAATACACTTAAGTGTATGGAGACAGTGGCTGAAAACACATATTTCAGGGAACATTATTTAAAAGTTTAGAGATGGTTATGCAGAGCAAAAAGGGTGAATTTGTTCTGTTCAAAATACACTAGCTGATGTATCTTCGATATTTTGATTTGGAACCAATAGAAAAGCAATCGTAAAAAATTGTTTTCTCTTCGGATGCTAAACTCTTCATTATCAACTCTAATCAGTCGCCATGATCGCAATTTCGATTTTGCCGACGAATCTCATCAGGTAGCTTTGATTGTACTTTGATAATATATATGTATGAGTTCTATTAATTATTTAGAAGAAAGAAAAAGAGGAATGTTATGATTTGAATTGGTTTCTTAGTATATTTTATGTATAACATATTTTGTTTTATAGAAAATAAAGGATAAGTAGTGGTAAGCTGATTTTCTCGCCATCACTATTTTTGAATAAAAGACACTTGAAAGTACCAAATCGACCATGGAAAACATATTACACGACGTAGTTTTAGAAATTATCCTTGATAGTTACCGATATTTTTCGTCAATACATTCATATGCATGGAACAAAATATGATGTTTATCTCATTTATTATTTTTTCTATAAGAGAAATTGTAATCTCCTTTTTTTATATAAGAAATTCAATGATTCCATATTTTCTTTTATACGAAGGCTGTCTGGTTCTTGTCTCATTCGCTCTCTCTCGGTGGCATATAATAAGCAGTTCTTTCTCTCGTTTGTGGCGTGCTTGCAACGAGCTATCAGAAAAAACGCGAATTTTTTGACAATAATAAAATCAAATCAAATTATTAAACTCTTTATCATTTTTGTAAAACGTTGGTTATTCCCGTAGCTTCAGTCACTGATTAAATTTCAATAATTGATTTGAAATGATTGATTGGTTGACACCTACCACAAAATGAGAATAATATAATTCTTTTTTTTTTTTATTATACCACAGCTAAATCACGATGCAAACATTCAATGTCGAAGTTGATGTGTCTATGTACTCATGCATCGAGAAATCCAAATATTCTCAAATGATAGATGAGATTTCAAAAAAAAGTAGATAATGTTTTGGAAAAAAACCAAAAGGCACATGCTAGCTTCATCATTAAAGCTAGCAAAAATCCTGCTTCCCTCTGCGTATGCAAGAAAACAGTAATCATACCGATTTTTTTGTCGTTTATAATTACCAATGAATGTTGTGTAATCTGTCGTGGATACTATTGTGCCTACTATTTTATTTGATGAGGATATGGCAGAATTGGGTATTATCGGAAATGAAGATAGTAACATTTATGATTCTAACAATCATTTTTTTATCATCTACTTCTTATGGTTAACAAATTTCTTTCTTTATATATAATAATCTAGTGAAGATGGATGTTACATTTGAATATTTACACGATTGTTTCAAGTATTTACTCTCAATGAATAATAAACCAATAAATATTGAGAAGATTCTTACTGATATTTGTACGCATGTTTTCCTTGAAATGAAATTTTTAGTGAACATAGGGGGCATTAAAGAATGAAATAAGTCTGTAGATAAGTCATATTATATAATCTGCACGAGTGCGTGCTACTGATAAAAACACGATGGGAGTTTTGTGCACGACAGAGCTTTTTCAGTAGTTGTTAAGTCTATTATTTGTTTAAATCAACTTACGTCAACAATAAGATTTGTTGAATATTGAAATAGCGATTATTGAACTCCACTTACTTTAGTTCATAAAACCGATGAACAAGGTCGCATTTTTCTATTTTAGCCATTTTCAAATATAGTGGACATTACTTTCAATGAAATTTCAGCGAAAAAATGTTTGTATTCGTTTGACCTAACAAGAGCATCAGATGTTGATGAACTTTCTCATCGTATTAGATGATGTGCTTTGGTATATGATCTAAACTTCAATGTTTCATTATCTGAAGAGGTACTTAAAATAATAATATTGTTGGATCATATATCATGTAAATTTAGTTCTTATTTTCTAGCTGTAGTGCTGAAACCTGTACAGTGATGTAGGTGTAAAGAGAAAATTGGCCCCACAATCACACCGTTCAAACCCTGTTAAGTGAATATACGAAGTCAATATGAGATTGGTAATTCGTTTCAGTTCTGTGTTATTCAAGTAAGCAGAAAAGTATTAGAGGAAAGAGAACTATTACGTAAAA